AATGATTATACGTGAAAATTAAGTCCTTCAGAATTGAATGATTGGGAGATTGAATAAAGGTCCAGAAACTAACAAGTTTGGATTGAGGTAAGGAGAGAGAAAGGAAAAGAATGGAAAGAAAACAAAAGTAAATATGGAATCCTTTCCATTGTTTGTATATGACATAAATAAAAATAAAGGAAATGAAGGTATGATTAGCTCCCATTGATTTTCCTCAACTTTTTTCATTTTTTAATTACCCCAAATTGGGGCAAAAGGAAAGGAAAAGAAAAGAATAAAATTTTAAAATATAAAATGACTATTATATCCTTATTAATTTCTCTAAATAAAAAGTGTATGATTTTGAACTCCAAAATTAGATTGAGAATACAAAATATCATTTACCAATAAATTTATTGTCTCCAATTTTTTTCTTTTATTTTTAGGAATTCCATAAATTTCATTTATGACTATTTTTATCAAGAAATAAAGGAAAATTGAAAACATGGAATACATTAACATAAACTTGTAAATGTTATAGTAAAAACAAAGATTGTCAAAGGTTATAATAAAAAAAATATATAATAAATCATTTCCCTCATTTTCCTTTATTTAATTAAACAATGATTGTTAGGATTCTTTTACTTTCTTTTCTTTTATTAATTTTAGCTATCCAAACAAAAATTAAAAATATCCTTTCTTTTTTAAAAAAAAAACATTTCCTTCATTTACTTTACTTTACTTTACTTTACTTTACTTTCCTTTCTTTTACTAATGTTTCACCAAACATAGCGTAAAGCTCGTCATATGAAATATAAAAATTCAACAATAGATATTGAAAAAGTCAATATATATGTCAATGCAAAAAAAAAAAAAAAAAGCTCTTATTAAAAAGTTTGGAATATGACAGAGGATAAAAAAATAATAAGAGTCAAAATCAATATGCTTTAATACTATGCTAAATTTCAAATAATAATAATTTTTAATAGAAAATAGTAATAAAGAAATCAAGAACACAAAAAGATAAGATAAAATATGCTATCAAGAAATTTAAGAAATTTTTTCTAAATTTTTCTTTGAAAAGAAGATGCTATCTTTTTATAATTTTTTTTTTACTTTTTGAATTGCCTACTTCTGAAATTGAAATAGTAAATAAGTGAAAACAAAGGAAATGAATGCATGCATGAGATTTTGATCTTGAAACGCTCGTTTGATCCAAAACAAAATATCATATAAAAAGAATTAATACAAGAAATTTGCATTTATTTGCATTTTAATGTAGTAAATGCCAAAACTTGTGCATGAAATTCTAAAACAAAATAAAATTTTCAATTCTCTTTCTTCCCCCTTTTAAGCACATTTTATGAGTAACCAAATAGTAATTGAGAAGAATAAAAAATGAGTGAGTGAACCCACCTAATGTTTAGATGGAAATATTGCTGAGCTTAGCTTTAACTTGTCTCCTTCTAGTTTTTCACTTTAGGAATTATAGAGAGCAAACAATAGTTAAACTTTAATATGGGTTATGGAGGTAAAGATAATTTTATTCTCAAATATATGCATTAGTTTTCAAAATTATCCCTCAAATCATTTTTTAAGATTAAAATGATCTATTCCTTTATTATAATCAAACAGATCCAAAAGCTTTTAAAATGGTTTTATTCCAAAATTAATCATCCAATTACTCTTAAGTACATTGCTGATATGGGTAATCAAAACATAATAAGGGAAAGCTTTTATTGTAAGTTATAGATTTGAGATTGCAAAACCAGGTTGGAAAAGTGGTTTGAGAAGGTTGCCCTATCCCCTGCCCATTTCAAGACTTGATATTAGGTTAGCAAACAAATACACTTGTTAGATTTAGATATTTGCCTTGAAATGACCTGAATCCAATAAGAGTAAGGATCAACAGTGTGCATTACCATACAAAGATAGGATTGACCAACCAAAGTTATGCTCCCTATTTAAAAAATACTATAACCAGAATTTTTAAAGGTAGATTAAGGTTTTAATGGTTATCATAAGATAAAAAAAGGAGGTTTTATTCTTTTCTCAGCTAGTGTTTATCACTTTTTAACTAAATGACTTAAAGATATTATATTTGATATCTATATAGATTTTATACATTATCAATGTATAAATTTTAAATATTATCAACAAATCATATAATATAATTTGATTAGTGAACAAATATAAAATTTTGAGTGACCCTTAAAATAAATATATAAAAATTTAATTTTTTTAAGAAACCTTTTCATTATAAGATTATATTATATAATTTATCGATAGAATAAAATGTATACGTTAACAATAAATTAAGGGGGAGTTTGGTTCGAGGAATCTTAAATTTCGAAAAGGAAAGTGATCATCATGGAAATGTAGATTTTTGACAATAGGTGATTCTTTATGTTATGAGAATGTTAGATTCTTGTGTTTAATTTGGGAGAAAATTAAATTATGTAATAAATGCTTTTTACTATAATAAGTTTCATTACATGTGAATAACACGTGATCAACATTTCAACAATCTATTATGTTATTAAAATTAAACATGTGACAACAATTAAACAACAAAAAAAAAAAAGGTTTTTATCTTTATAATGTTAATAAGCTAGTTTATTACTAATAAAAAATATAACAAAATCGAGAACATAGTTTTTGATTGAAAAAAAGAATTTACAAAAACTACATTTATGAAAGTAGAAATATAGTCTTTGAATAAAAAAAAATTTACAAAGACTATGTATTTTAAAGTAGAAACATAGTTTTTATTAAAAAAAGTTTTACAAAACTATGTTTATGAAAGTAGAAACATAATCTTTGATTAAAAAAATTAAAAAAAAAATTCGTGTCAATTTCTGGTAAAAGTAAGTTTCTCTTTCCTACATTTCTATTATGACATGGCATTTAAAGACTACATTTCTTATCAAAGAAACGTGATCTTTGTTGTCTCTCCTACATTTCTATTGTAACATGGTATTTAAAGACTACATTTCTTATTAAAGAAGCATGATCTTTGTTAGAAAATACTATAATTTTGTCATTAGAAACGTAGTGAAAAGTATGATATAATATTATTTATAATATTATATCAATTAATACATTTACAATATAACAAATGTCATTGATATAAAAATTATCTATTTTATTTTGTTATTAATTTAATTAATTTACTACATTTTATATATAAAAAAGTAGTGCTTTCTAAAATAAAAGAAATAAAAAAATATAAAATTGTAGTTATCCACTACGTTTATTTTTTTAAAAAACATTAATTTTATTATATGTAATATATTACATGTCTAAGCATATGCTAGATGTTTAATCATGTGATTAGGATTGCACCTTTGCTCAATCGTATAGTTATGAATGCCTATTTTTGTATTATAATGGGTTTTTATTTATCATATAATTATGTTGATTTTTAAAAATAAAATAGACTAAAAAAATTTATTATTAAGATCTAATGTGAGATAAAATTAATTTTTCTCTTGAAATTTTAAAAAATCATAAAAAGAAGTAGATTTTTAATTTTGAAATACTTGGACACTATTGAAAATATTAAAATATATCTAAAAATTAAATATTGTGACCCAAACATGAAAATTAAATTTCAAAAAATAAAATTTCAAAAAAAAATTAATTTTCTCTCAAACCAAATGCCCGTTAAATATAAACAGTAAAATATAATTAAGCCAAGGTAGGTAAAAAATAAAATAAAGGTTAGGCAATGTCAAACAAAGCTAGAGTTGGGCTTTAAGAAGGTATCTAATTGGCCCTTTTATGATTTTCGCCGAATTTTAAACACAACAATTATTTTCCCCAAAATAAAAATCTTATTATCTTTACATTTTTACAAACAATGAGACCACATTTCTTTAGACCGTTAATGGTACCAATATTTGTCACGTAGTCGTCCTTTTCTCCTGAAATTCATTTTTTTAAATGTGATCAACCTTTGGTAATTATTTCACCGAAGAGCTTGACGTAGTTAAGAAATAAATAATATATTAGTATTTATAAATTATTTAAATTTAATTCAAATAAAATTTAAATTTGATTTGATTATTATTTAATTAAATTTGAGTTTAATAATTTAATTTATTAATCGAATTAAATTTAATATTTTAATACTAAAATTGAATTATTTGTAAGTTTAATTGAATTTTATATTTTATATTTTTAATTATTTTAATTAATAAAATATCTTGAATTAGAATATAAATAATCAAGTTTTTATCGAATATAAGAATTAAATTTATTTTTATATATTAATCGAATCTAATCAAATGAAACTCGAATAACTTGATTTTTATGTCGAGTTAAATTTGAATTAAAAAATTAAAACTTTATTAAATTCGAATCAAGTTTCGAGTCTCGAATTTTAAATTAAGTTTAAATTTAAATTTAAGTTTAATATTATATCAACTCGAATTCAATCGATTATACTTTTAAATGTGACACATTAAAGTTGTATAACTAGTCGAACTCGAACACTAATTATTAATCTCCAAACATATACATACATAAACGTAATAAAAAAATTAAAATATATAATTAATTTAATAATATAAAAATTAATATTTTTTTAATTAAAAAATTTTAGATAAAAAATTATTAACTAAAAGGATAAAAATAATTATAAAATTTATATCATTAAATGTAAAATAAATTTGAAATATTTTATTCTCAAAAAAAATTTCAATAATTTTAACTATAATGATAAAAGAAAATAGAAAAATATATTATTAAACATAATTAATTAAGTTAATTTCATAAAATAAATTGATATTATAAAATTAAAAAATATATCATTTTTGTATTTATTAAATTAATAAATTAAGTAACATTATGTATATATTTTTTAATATTTACATGTTAATATGTTTTTCATTTTTTAAAATTATATTATTTTTATAATTTATCATGATATATGAAAAGATATAATGATATCTCATTATTTTAAAATAGGATCGACCTTACTCCAGACAAACCCAAAAAGAAATCCCGCCAACTCAACTCCAGAGTCCATATTAAAGACTCCCGCGGTCTCAATTATTATCTGAACTTTTGTTTTCCATTTTTTTTTTTTGTATTTTTTTTTTCACATTATCTGACAACATGAGTCGAAAGAGAGACAAACCCTACTTCTTCAGCTACAACCCCGCTTCCATCTCAAAGAGGCGTCGTCCTCCGCCACCTCACCCGGCGCCACCAACTGAGGATGAGGACAATTCAGCAATCAAGCCAACGCCACCAGCTGTGGTCATCATGGGTCTTCCCCCAAACTGCTCGGTACTTGATTTGAAGTCGAGGTTTGAGATCTACGGGTCAATCTCCCGTATACGCATCAACCGTGATGCTGTCGGTTATATAGCATATCGCTCCAAGGAATCCGCCGAGTCTGCCGTTGCCGCTTCCCTTGATTCCTCTTTCGGTATTACCATTGATTCTAAAAAGGTAATTTAGAAAAAAAAAAAAAAACCTATGCCTGTGTTAATTTCTTAATTGTTTTCATTGGTTTCTCATAAAGTGTGGAAAAGTAAAAAGAGAAAGAAGTGTTTTTGTAATTGAAATGATGCGTGGTTTGGAGCTAATTTGGCTGAAATAACTGGTTAGCTGCAAGGTTGAATAGAAAAGTCAAAAAGTCAATTAAATTGAAATCATTACCCTTTAACGAGGAGCTGAAGTTCAATTTTAGTGTTTTGCTTTGTTGCTCAACGTCAACAAGTTCCAGATTCTGAATTGTGATTTTGCTTACAGGTTCAAGTTTTGTGGGCAACAGATCCTTTAGCTCAATGCACAGACGGGGTAGGGATTGGTGTTAATAAGGATAATGGGTCATCGTCTTCGTCGAAGCTTTTGCGGCCTGAGGTGCCTTTGAGCAGGCATGGAAGAGGTACTAAGCTTGCATCAGCAATTGTCAACCATAGAAGTACTGATGATGGTTCTTCGATGTTAGAAGTGCCTTTTAAAGGTAGAGAAATTGTTGCCTATGATGATATTCTGTAATGCAGGACTAGGTGTTTGGGAATCTGTCCACATTGTAAAATAGTGCAAGTTTGATCTTAGCTCTTTTTTATCTCTCTAATTTCTAGAATCTAATATTTATTAGGCTGGAAATGGTTTGTGTCTTGGAGTTGGAGAAATGAGTGGAAGGAAGGGTGTGGTTTTGGTTTATGGTTTCTAATGATATTACTATTGTGCCATTGAATGAGTGTTTTTTTAATGATATTCCTATTGTGCCAATGAATGCAGTATTTTTTTTTTATGGCACTTGAAATATTTATTTGAATTCAACAAAGAGTATACCAAGCAAATCTAGTAATTTCGATGTAATAATCTGCTATCTTATCATGTTCTAGTCTTGCTCAATGGATGAATGCTATGCTTTTCTTATATATAAATGTAGTTAAGCCTTCAACTTGAAATTTTTTCATTGGTTGCATTCAAAGACTAAGGGGGAGTTTGATTCAGGGAAAAGTTAGATTACTTTTGAAATCTTACTTTTTGTAATTTGATTTCTTAATTTGATTTATGATATTTGATTTTTGGGGAGTATTATAAGATTTTCAACAATGTTCAAATAATTCGAAATCAAAAACTCAAATCTTTTAAGGTTTTTTAATATTCCTAGAAGGAAACAAATTTTTTTTCTCATTTTTTATCTCAATAATAAAATTTTTTTATCTATTTTACCCTTAGGGGGCGTTTGGTTCGTAGAATCGTAGATTTAGAGGGAAAGTGTGATCTTCGAGAAATGTGATAACCGAGGTTTTCTTTTATTTTAAGGGTATTTCGTATTCAAAATCACTCATTTGATTGAGAGAAATTTAAATATATTAAATCTTGAATAATTATTATAATTTTTTTAGATATATGATGATAAATTAAATAATCTAATTTTTAATTAAAAGAAATTATTCAAGGTGTTTTTTGTCAGAAAATACCTTAAATAATTCATACAAAAAATTGAATAAGATTATTTAAGGTGTTTTCTAGTAAAAAATACATTGATTATTCCTTTTCAATTTTTATGAGGGGATTATTAAATACATTTTTTTTATAAAAAAATGCTTTGAATAATCCTCTTTAATTTTTTTAAGGGGATTATTCAAGGTGTTTTATGTTGAAAACATATTGAATAATTTTTTAAAAAAATTGAATGGGGTTATTTAAGACATTTTTGACAAAAAAGTCTTGAATAATCATTTTCAATTAAAAATTGAAAAGGCATTTTTTGGGGCAATTTTGAAAAAAAAAAAAGGCCTTCAGTAATTCATTCTAATTTTTTTTTAAGAATATTCAAAACGTTTTTGCTCAGAAAATGCCTTAAATAATCTCTTTCAATTTTTATGAGTTGATTATTCAAGATGTTTTTTGTCAAAAACACATTGAATAATCTTTTCCAAATTTTTTGAAAGGATTATTCAAAACATTTTTGGCAAAAAATGCCTTGAATAATCTCTTCCTTTTTTTTTTGAGATTATTAAAAGATGCTTGAATATTTCCTTACAAAAAATTGAATGGGATTATTTAAGGCGTTTCTAGCAAAAAATGCTTTGAATAATCCCTTTTAATTTTTTTACTAGGAGATTATTCAAGATGTTTTTGCTTAAAAAATGCCTTGAATAATCTTTTACAAAAAATTGATTGAGATTACCCAAGGGGTTTTTGGCAAGAAAACACCTTAAAATAACATTTTTATAATATCAAGAATCATTTAAGCTTTTTTTTTTTTTTGTAAAACACCTTTGGGATCATTTGTAAAATTCATTCCCGTTTCTTGAATTTTGAAAACCTAAATAGCTAATACAGTGAACAATAAAAAGCTGCATTACAACCAACCCCTAAATTATCAACCCATTTAATTTGCTTTCTGGTTTCTTTATCTCTCTTGTCGTCGTCGACCATCAACAACTTAACGCCATAACACCTTTTTTTTTATCGGTATATGGGCATTTTTTCTGTTTTTTGTATTGTTTGTATTCTTCGATATAGGTTTTTTTTTTTTTGGTTCCTTACTATATATATAAATTTTTTTATTCATTCCACTGTCACTTTAGTCGCCCAACCTCCCTTCATTGTATATATGGTGTTTCTTTGTAGTTTGGTTTAAATACTATGGTTTGCTGAATGGTATTGTGAAAATTGTATGTATTTTTTAACTCATCATTTGTTTTGCATATAACTCTTATTTAAAGTGAGAATCACAGTATGACTTGTACCCATAAAATATTATTGGTTTGAGGATGTTTTACGTATATTGGTCTAGTAACTATATTATGATATTAGTTGTATTTTATTACTGTGTGAAATTTAGAGAGATAGTTTGGTGCATTTCATATAATTGTGATCAAAATCACAGGTATTATGAAATTTGAAGAACATATGTCTCCTACTATTGAACATGAAGAAAACACACCCATAGTGAAAAAAAGAAAAACAAGGGAACAAAATAAACAAATTCAAGTGACTGACATGAAAACTCAAGTTGACTTCAATCAAAGTGGGCAACCTGTGTCTGATGGAGCTACCAAGTTGGCTAGTCACATTAAAACGGTCATCCATAGTAGCATTTCTATTATATACCATAATTGCTGACAAGTTTCTGATGATCTAAAAGATCATATATGAGAGTTGGCTATGGTATGTTTATTCAACTATTTTATAAAATTTGTTAAATGATCATTTAATTAAAATTCAATGTGTTCATACTAATTATATGATTTTGTTTATTCACTTAATATTTATTTGTATATTATATTTATTGATTTGGTTTTAATACTTATATTTTATTATATATTGTAGCATGATATTGGGACTTAGAGGATGACCTTTGCTAAGGTTACCATTGATGCGTTATCTAATTATGCACTTGATCATTTATCTGAAGAAAACTTCATTACCATTGAGTTTGAGTATGGATTATTTGATCATCCATCAGTTTCTTACATTAGGGGGCCTAAGATTGAAGCATTTTGTACCCTGAATGAAATATTAGTTTCTGATATCGTTACCTATATGAGATTAGCTTATAAATTTAAATATGCAAAGTTAATATCTATTAATCTATATTATGGTGTATTGCTAACTAGTATTGTTGATTATTATCGTGCAACTTTCTATATAAAGAGATCAAGGTGAGACAAATGACCCATAAATTCAAATTTGTTGACCCAAATATGATTAGTGAAGAGAGTGACACTTCGTTATTCGTGGTCATCATGTGGGTTAATGCATGCAAAAATAGACCAATTATTTTTTAGTGCTGTATAATGCTACGTAAGTTATATTCATACAACTAACTATTCTAACCTTATCCAAATTTGAGATGATGCCTAATCTGAGTATATCATTCTTATTATTTTGTAGTCATCATTGGTAGCTTATTATGATTGATTCCAATTCCTTTATGCCATACTTATTTAACTCTGCTCAACTAACAACGAAGCCTAATCTCAATATTCATAATTTTATAAAGAGGTATCACATGTTATTATATTATCTTGTGTTTCTTCATAATTACTTTTATTTTTGTATTAACAACTTTTTTTTGTTCGATTTAGGAGAATGTTTGCAGTTGATAAGAAAGCAAAGATAAATGGTATCATAATAGGTAAATTTGAAATTTATTCTTTTATGCTAAGTTTGTTTAGATAAATGTTTCCTACACTCACTAAATTTATTTTTTAGGTTCTTCGTCAACTAGGATATACTGAATATGGATATTATATCCTTCCTGTTATGATAGAGATAGTTTTATATGATTTTATGATCACAGTTTTATATGATTTTATGATCAAACCATTCAATGTTAGTATTAATTCTATACAATAGTAATATCTTCCAATAAATAAAGCTAAATTATGTTCTCATTTATTAACATTTACTTTTGATTTTTTTTATAGTGAGAGAGTAAAGAAAGCTTCATGAAAGAAGAATTTAATGAAGTCCGTAAAGAATGGTCTGATTATGTATTATCATTCGCTACACCTTGAGGTTGGAGAATGTTGGTTTGGTGTAAATATATGCATTACATTGTTTATAATGTTTTTAACATGCCATGTTACATGGATAATGTTTAATTTTTGATTAGGGTATTGGTTTAATATTATTGGAATATATTTGTTTTATATCAATTGGTAGCTTATATGACTACACATATTATACTAAGTGCTATTATTTGAAAAAAAATATTTTTATATGACAACGTTATTAGTTATAAATTCGGATGTGTGGCGTAATATTAAAATACTACAATATTCATAATTTAAATTTCAAAATGTAATTCGTAGTATTACAAATATGTATTTGATTCACACATGTACAAATCCAATATAAATAAACCCATGTTTAACATGCGAAGCAGTGATTTACATATTTACAACCTTCCATTTCCTACCTTAATTAAATAAATAGGTTTTGAAAATTGTATAATGAATCTCTAAACAACATGTAGTGTGATCTTCATGTGTCCAGGCAAAGCAAAGTAAAATAGTGGGCGATATGTATTACATTCATTTAATTATTTTTTAATTTAATTACTTCTAAATATAGCTGGCATCATAAAGAAAAACTCAACTTTGTGATTTTTTTTCAGCATATACTCACTAGCGGCAAGTATTTCATCAGGCATAAATTTGTTGAGTTACATTATTTCATTGAAAAATGATTTTTTTTTATCTGTATGCTTAATTTTTGTCTTAAAGTAAATTGAAATGTCCTCCATAACATTCATAGCTCGATCATATGAAGCACCAATATTGTCAATCTAATGCACCAACCCAACGATTGCTCCATCATCATTCCTAGCACACTTTTTACCTTACAACATTGTCCTTGCATTGCTCAGAGCAGTAAAACCAATTTTGTCTTCATTGTCTCCTTTCCCCTCATTTCCTTCAACATTGATATCAAACTTAAAAGATAAGTAAGCATCCTCATTAGCATTTAATGATTCAATTGCATTGGTTGCTATTTCAACTCATTGACTGGTTGCTCTATCATATCTGAATATCATTTTAAAATCATCAAAAAATGAGAAAGGTTTGTTCCGTAACCTTTTAGCATGTGGGTATGACTAGCAAAGTTCAAACAAAGACGAATCAAATAAAAGCCATCGAAAAAAAATGTCAAAAAGATAGATAAACCATAATATCATCTAAAAAAACTACCTGAACCCACTCATCAACTACTTTGTTCTCAACTGTGATACATTTTTTTTTATCATTCCACCCAAATCCACTATAATTTTTCATATAACAAATTGCATGATATTATCTCTCAAGCAGTTTAACCCTGGATTTGATGTGGGGGGTGGCTTTAAGTTGT